GACGTCTAAGGCGTGCCGCCACACCCTACCCACGTGTGACAATAGTTCTGAGCTCGTGCATGCGGACTCCGCACTGCCAAATGAACGCGCGCCGTGAGCCCATCCGACGCACGTGCTGGTCCAGCACGTCGGCACCCCAGAGTATTATGACAGCAAAAGACACACTATGTTAGTCACACTGTCAAAGTCACCCACTGATGAGCCGGACCCCTCGCAGCTGTGCCAAGTAGCGGCAGAATAATGGCGAACCACATGTCTGGGCCTTTTATCTAGTACCTAAACTGTTCGTATGGTACGTTACAACATCAATATATTCATCACTTTATCATCACAACTCCCAATGCGTAGATTGATACTTCTTAAGCTTTCATGGTTGCTCACATGCGCGTTGGTTGGATGAAGGGGCTTTGCGCAACATCGAATCCCCGTTTTTCTGCCAACTCATAGGTATGCAATAAGAAGACTGTGTCGATACCAGTGGACAAACTAGGGTGCAGCGGTATATGAGGCAATTTGCCCCTGTCCTTATCGTTCAACGTGTGTTGGCTCCTCAATCGACAGTCATCAGACTTCCCGCTTATACGGGTCTAGAACTCTCGCGCGAGGTCCCACAACAAGTATTCCTTCCGCAAACTCGGTACGGTGTCGCCACAGCCGGCTACCGAAGACCGCAAAAACTACGGGGCCGAAGTGGCTACCTCCAATAAGCAAGCCTGCTAAACATCTTCGGCTTATCCACTAAGGTTGTGACCTGCCTATGCTTGAGCGCTAGTGAGCATTTTTTGCTGACAAATCGGCCAAGGCAGAGTGTTAACGTGAGCTCGGCTAGTGCCTTGTCAAGTTCGGTGAATCACTCATTGCTATCGGCATCGCAGTTTCCCCAACCGATGCACATGCGATTCCAAGGCTGTGATAGGACAGGACTGCATCTTACTTGATGCGTACGCGTTTTATGTGGACACTCTGTCTCTTAAACTCTGCAGAGTAACTTAACACAAATGGGGAGTTAAGGTCGTTGCTGAGGCATGGGCCTCAGGCATCCTTGTGTCCGTCTTCAAGAAGGGAGATAATACTACTGCGGCATAAGTTTCATCAGCATCCTCAAAAATGTCCTTGCTATCGTAATTAATATGCTCTTTCAACACGTGTCTGTAATTTCGGAAAGAGCCAACCAACCAGTGTTCATTATGGAGCCTGGATGCCTCGATCTGGTCTTCTCGTTGCGGCGAAATCTCTAATTCCGCAGTCGGCTATCCGGCCCCCACTGGCCGTATTTGCTGTCACTTCCGATACCAGGTCTCTGTGGCATCCGGTTGGTATTCCTATAAAACTCATCGTCGTCATTCGACAACGCGTGTTTGGGCCCCACTAAAATCCTTAGACAGCGTCTGCTGGTTACGACAGAGGCAGGTGCAATCAGGTTTCGCAAACCGGTTCTATGCGCCCACAAGAACTTCGTAAAGGCACCACAGTTACTGTGGTCGAAAGTCGTTATTTCAACCGTCCGCATCTATTTACTTTTCCTGGCAGCCAGTACTTTCTAAGGCTGATCAGATTACTTATCCCAATTTTGTTTCCTCCCCGAACCTGACACCCGCACGATCTTTTCTACCAACCCGTATATTTTTCTTAGTCACAACGACATAAATGTAAAGGCCTGAAGAGAATTTGTCGAAAGCGATCGAGTGCTAGCCAATTGATCTATTAAAGTTTCAAGCCTTGACTTCTTCAACAAAACCCTCCCACGCAATTACCTCTGACATGTCCGAACTCTAGGTCACTATCTGCAGCCGCAAGACTTTGCCTAGGTAGGGGTAATTAGCATGCGTAGAGCGCATGGCTAAACACGGCTTCCGATGACAGTACTGGTGAGCTAAATAACTGAATATTTATAACTTTGATCGTCAGCCTTGGAGGGCGGAGGTGAATCGCGACCATAAATGATCCGGATTGCACTAGGCAAGCATTTATCGTCTGACCTACAAGTAGGTCCGATGAATGTGGGATCTGCTAATTTAAGCATGCATCAGGCGACGTAGCGACTGTAAATACTGCGCACCCGTGAATTTAAAACCTCGGGCAAATAGAGTTTCTTCACCAGCGACCGAGTCTCCATTTTCTCAATTACTTCCTGGAACTCAACAGTTCGCACGCACCAACATCAATGCCAGTGTCGTTTGTGATTCACTCATTGTCAGCCGTATAGGTCAGGCTCGGCCAATAATGTCTACTAGGATGAATTTAAACTCATGGTCACATCGGGCAATATAGGTTGCTATCTGTGACCTCAGGTCTAGCTGCTGAAGCGCTAGTTGGTGTTCGTACACGCTAGTACGCAGTTGGCAACTGGTTTCTTCCTACCTGCCTTCTCTATTAGCACAGCCAAACACTTAATCGAATTCTGTAAGTGCTGCCCCAAAGTCTCTTTCCCATTGAGCAACTCGAAGGCACGCTGACGGATTTATTAAGGAGGTTGTTACTGAAAATCACTTAAAACTTGTGCTTGAAGTATGGAAATCGCCATTTTTGCCTCAATGTCTTGATGAAGAACCTATCATCCTCCTGCGACATATACTCTACTGATTTAGGACCAAATCCAGCTGGTTTGTTTCTGCTAGCAACTTCGAATGGAAGAAAAAAATGTATGACTAGATCTATTCTTCAGCATCTTCTTCTGTCTTCGACGTCTTGGTAGTCTGATTACAAATATACGCAGAATACCCACGAACACTGCAGAGTCTAGGCTTTCACAGCAGCAATCCACCGGAACACAAATGGAGATGAATATATGCGTTCAGCTGATTTTCGGAAACTCGCCGCTATCGGCTCTCAAGAATACTCAAATCAACCATCTTCGGCAATGTTTCACTGATATCGGGTACTTGTGAAATTTCCTCAAAAGAAGCCAATGGCCCCAAATAAATGTAGCGAGAAAGCCAACCGTCCCAGGTCATAGCGGGGCGTCCCGTATGCAAAATGTGAGTCAGCATCCACGGTCCCCCTCGAGGTGGAAGTCATTCAAAAGCCAGACTCCATTTCCTCACCGTATGAAATGCCTCGCTACCGCATTTTAAAGGGGGAGCTATGCTAGGAATGTCAACTTTTCCAAAAAGAGATTCGATCTCACGGGATCTAGTCCGTTCTTGCTGAAGCGGACTGGACAGACACTTAGCCAATCTGAATAGGATCTCATAAATGCACACTTTTTCCCGGTGTGAATAACTTGCTAGTAACCATATGTTTAGTGGTAGCCGACTATGCTTTGTTTTCTCCATATCACTATGTCTGGTCGTGTCCAGGTCATATTTTTCCCTCCCCCCTCAAGCCATTTTCTGTCATTTTTCCCTCTCTTTCTGCTTGCAGGAAGGCATCGACCTGCTCGATGCACACGTCCTGGCCGGCCTCACCCTTGAGCAGACCAAACACATCTTCCGTTCGGCCACGCCTGTGGAGATCCCTCTGCTGGAGACACGTCACAAGATTATGCTCTCGCATGCCGAAACTCTGCTCAAGAAGTACAACGGTTGCTTCAGCAACTGTCTGACTAGCTGTAACGGCTCAGCCGCTGACCTCCTCGAGGTAGTCACTCGCGATTTCCCCTCATTTGATGACAGGGCAGTCTTCAAGGGTCAGCCCGGTAGGTTTGACAAGTCTTCGTGTGCGCACCTAGGCGCGAGCTGGGGGCTCGACTCGCGTCAGTTTTGAGACCTCAATTGCTGTTATGTTACTAAAATCGAGATGTCATCTTCTAATTACGCCTTATTTGTGTACTCAAGAAAGAACACAACGAGAAGGGCGCACAAGTGGAAATATATTAGCCTACCTACTACAGCATATTTCAGGCAAAAAAACGCGTGTATAGGCATATCCAATCAGACTTATCAAATACTGTTCTCGAGCGAGTAGCGACTCGATTGGCTTTGTGACTCATCCGGCCGGCTGCTTAGAGTCCGCAGCTAAGCGCGGCTTCATCACGTGCGCCACGTGTAGGCGGATCGATAGCGTGCTGTGAGAGCGACTCACCAGGGCTATATGCGAGCGAGTCGGCTAGGATGGCTCCTAACACCAGTAAACACCCATAACCGTCAGACCCCAAAACTTTAATAAACCTTCATCAGCTTGAAGA